CTCACCCAGCCACACGGCCAGGAGGCCAAAGGGCTATAATAAGAAAGCTGCAGGGCAACTAGCTACCTTCTGTGCCAGCCAAGGGAGAAACCCAGCCACAATGTTAGGGGGACTTGGAGCAAAGGACCTAAGTAAGCCACCTCTCCCACAACACACATGCTTGCACATATACCCACACCAGGACCACCCATCATCACCAACTCCACCATTCCCAAGAAATAATCCCAAATAACAAAGCACTTGGCCAGGTAATTCCTCAAAGGGTCCCTAGGAATCAAATCAAAGTGATCTGATCAGATTCCACCTCTACCCAAAGGACAAAACAGCCTGTCAGTGTGTCTAGGAAGAGTCAGGGCTTCTGGTGAGTCAACTGGACAGTGAAGTCCCCACTCCCAGGGAAGTTACGCAATCCCACCCCCCAATCATACTACCCCACTGATTACAGGCACATCAATTTCTTTCGTAATAAAGAGTTTTGATGAAGCTGTGTGAGTCAAGACCAGTTTTTCTCTGTCAGCAATTGTAGAGCCCTCAAGCTCCTGAACACCAGGGCTAGGCAAGCAGAGCGTGGGAGCCCTTTTACTATCTGGCCTATCTGCTACCCCATGCCCTAAATAGTAGCCAGATGAAACTACTCCCATTTTCTGGAACCTTTGTTCATGTAGTTTGCTCTGACTAGGATTCCTTTGCTCAGTCCTGCTAAATCCTATCCATCTTCAGTGGCCCATTCCAACCACTGTCTCCTCTGGAAATCCTTAACCAGCCCTCAATCTCCCTGCCACTTCCCCCCCCGCCCCGCCATGCCTTCCAAGGATCTGCTACAGCTCTTTTATGGGGCCTCACCCCATCACACTATGAGGGAAGGAACTGAGTCTTAGTCATCTATCTTCCATACCTCATTGGCTAGCCTCTCTCGGGTGCAACATTAGTATTTGTTGAATGAACCTGTAAGTCAATCAGCTCATCGTCTTTGATAGGACAGCAGGAAAATGATTATGTTGTGTTGGAAGTTGTATTGAAAACAGTTTCCTATTCGATGGAAGTCCATTCTCAAATCCAGCCAGGTCAAAACCTTTGGAGGGAAACTGCACTCATCTTTTTGCAATCATGCACAAAGGCAGACACAGAATGAGAAACAATTCATGGCTGCTGCCTTTGCTGGGTGGGCTAGGGCAATCTGTCCATGGACTTCCTACGGTGTGGTGAGGTACTGAAGTTCATAATGTAAAGACTAGCCCTGTGTTTCCTGCATGAATGAGAAATTTCAAGGACAACATTTCAAGTCATTCTTAAAATAATGAACTTTGAGTTCTATGGAACTCATTGTAGATTAAGAAAGACCCAAGTAGCCCAGGTCTGTAGTCCCCAACCTCTAGGCCAAGGACCAGTCTGGTCCATGCCCTGTTAGGAACCTGGCCACACAGCAAGAGGTAGGCTGTGGGTGGATGAGCAAAGCTTCATCTGTATTTACAGCTGTTCCCCATTGCTCACATCAGCACCTGAGCTCCACCCTGTCAGATCAGTGGCTGCATTAAATTCTCATAAGAGCCCGAATCCTACTGTTAACTGTGCATGCAAGGGATCTAGGTTGCACTCTCCTTATGAGAATTTGTCCGAAACCACCCCCCGACTCTGTCCACGGAAAAACTGTCTTCCATGAAACCGTGGTGCCAAAAAGGTCGGGAACCACTGGCCCAGATAATGCTGAGCAACATCAGAAAACATTGGAAACTATATCGGTTATACTGTCTACAACTGTGTATATTTACTGAGTAGGGTGGGAGGGAGGGACACAGGTGAAGGACTGCAAAGAAAAATGACTAAAATGATAGAGCCTGCCAGGAGGAAAGCCATGACAAACATCTCTGGACAGAAAAGGTAGGAAAATATCATTGAAGTCTACCAAACAGGTTGATGTGATAGGATGAATAAGAGCTTCTTAACAGAGGAGATTTGAAACATTTATTTAGCACAAATAAAGAGTACTCTTACACAACATATATTTTAGCTATAAAAACATTTTGTCCCAAGATGTAATTTAGGCTAAAATATGAATTATTCCAAGAAGTTGCTATGTACATCTGATGAAAACTAGTTAGAAGAATCTAATTCGTTTTGGATATATCTCATAAATAAGAAATCTATGATGAAATGGGAAGTATGCATAAAGCATTTCTTCTCTTCTGCCTCTTTCTGCCATCTTTCTGTGCTGCCATAATGGTGTGCATGAATGTCCTGGCAAATGCTCTTAAGAGCATCAACAATGCCGAAAGGAGAGGCAAACGCCAGGTTCTTACAAGGCAGTGCTCCAAAGTGATCGTCCAGTTTCTGAATGCGATGATGAAGCATGGTTACACTGGAGAATTTGAAATCATTGATGATCACAGAGCTGGGAAAATTGTTGTGAACCTCACAGGCAGGTTAAACAAGTGTGGAGTGATCAGCCCCAGATTTGATGAGCAACTCAAAAGATCCAGAAAAATGGCAGAATAATCTGCTCCCACCCCGCCAGTTTGGTTTCATTGTACTGACAACTTCAGCTGGCATCATGGACCACAAAGAAGCAAGAAGAAAACATGCAGGAAGGAAAATCCTGGGATTCTTTTTCTAGGGATACAATACATACTTACAAATAAAATGCCTCAATGGACCAAAAAAAAAAGCATTTCTTTCTTCTGCATAACAAAGTACCATGGTTATCTCCAGAAAAAGCACTTGAGCAATTGATTCCTGCACTATAAAGTAGCCACATATTTCATGGAACATCATTTTTACTTGAGAGAACAACTGAAAAACTATGGTATTTAAACTTATATATCTGACCTATATTTTCTCAAAAATAACAAAGTGAGCCTGACACCTCAAGAAAAACTGACAGTATTGGTTGCCAATGATAAAATTCAGGCTTTCAAGCAAAAATTGGAATTCTAGAAAATTGCTTCCCAATGTTTAAAGATACAAAAGATAAATAAGGAAACTTTTTTTTATTGCTAAATGGTACATGGTTTTGGAAATAGATTCTGCTTAATAAATTCATAGCATTTTATAAGTTTTGGTTTCACTTTTCTTACTGGTTTTAATGACTTTGTAAAATTATAAATTCTAAGACCCAGAAAAGCAAAGTAGTTTAAACCAGGTCAATCTAATTGCCTACAAGACAGACATCTGTCAAAATTTTTATGACATATCAGTGATTGTTCTATGGTAAACATTAAGCATTCAAATAAGAAAAATGTTATCAGTATTTCATATCAATTAAATTTTAAGAATCTATAATATATTAATGCCCTTACCAAAAAAATTTTTTAGAAGATGACTGTCAAGTAAAAGCTGGAATTCTGATTTCATTTGGTTAACTTTTTGACTAACATAACTATTAATAACATGTTACTCAAAATACTAAGAAAGTAGGAAAATTTTTATTTAAGCGCAAAAAACTTTTTCTCCAAAATCTTTCAAAGTTAAATGTCTAGCAAAATAACATCCCCCAAAGATGTACAACTTTTAAAAAGTTACATGAGAAAGTAAAAACTGCGGTAGAATGAAGAGTCAATTTATAAGACTTCCACAATGGCAAAAACTTTTAAGAAAAGCCTTTGCTGAATATCTTGGATAATATCAAATCCACTAAGCTACCAATGTCATTAGTACTACAGGCTTTAAAAGGTGGTTTTGTTTGGGTTTTTTTGTTGTTGTTGTTGCTATTCTGTTTTTGGTCTAAAGAAAAAACTGCAATAATGTTACAACATTCTTCAAACTTTACCCTAAAACTTCTATTTGGGGATACATCAAGGTTCCAACAATTCATGTCCTTTCAAGTATCATCTGAGCTTATACATCTTCCTTGAATCCAAAAATTTAATGTAGAAAAAGTCTCGTAGTAATTCTGTTTTAAGAAATGAAGCAGTCTAGATCAGGTTTGCTCTTCCTTCCCACCTGCAATTCATTACAATAATCCATTACACCCAAGGTAATACCTGGATAATAATTCCATCTCAGAATTCTGCAGGTGCTTTCACTCTGTAGGAGGCATTACATTTTTAGCTAACTCTGGGGAGAAACACCATGGGCTCAAAAGACTACTAGTGACTAACGAGAAATGACAGGAGATGCACACTGTCACTAGGTAATTTAACATTAAATATATAATAACGAGGAAAAACTCCAAAAAGTTTTGGAAATATGATGTATTTTAATATCCACATGAAGTTCCTATTTTTCATTCATTACAATAATGCCCCACCAGCTCCTTTTCAACAGAAGGGGGATGAGGAATCAGGATAGTTAATAAAGAAGCTAATTCAAGGAGATTATACAAAAGTGGATTTTGGACCAAAGGTCAAAAAATAGAAAGTAAAAATTTTAAACTACAAATTGCCTTGCATAATTGTTATTTTAATCACTATTTTACCTCAGAAGTCATCCTAACAGGTAGCAGACCCAAGCAGATTAAAATAATGGAGCATTGTTTTTACAAGACAACTCATCGCCTAAAAATTCCTGAAGTATGGCACAAATGTTAATTGACCCCATTCTAAAAAAGCGACCTAGAACACTAAGATACGTACATTCTTGAACTCAAATCACATTCCCTGCTGTTGGTTTCTCCATTTTTTTTACAACCAATTCGCACATCTGAGAGTGAATAAATCTACAATTGAGCACTGAGCTTAAGCTTAAAGACTTGATATTAAATGGCTAAAGCTGTCATGAATACTCAAGAAAGTGACCAGGGCATCCCGGGCCATCACACCTAATTTTGCTATTCAACGCATTTAAGGCAATTTTTTTCAGTTATTCAAACGTGCATTAACAAAATTCACATACCAAAGCCATGCCCTGAAGCAGTTAATTTGACACGTCTGAAATAACATTTCAAATAAAATGCTTTCTGTGGGGCCCCTGTTTAAACAGCTTCCAAATCCCAGAAGTAACATCCTTAACATCCTGCGTTTCCTTCGGTGTGACCAGGGGAAGTGAGGGTGTGTCTCGGTGCTTACCGATGCCCGGAGCCACATAGATGAAGTAGAGACAAGACGAGGAAAGGGAGAAGAAGAAGATGAAGGCGAGGAGGGAGCGATTGGAGATCCGCATCACCCGCCTGAGCACAGACATCTTCCTCTTCCCGGCCAGCAGCTCGGGCTGCGCTCTCAGGCCGGACTCGGGGCCACTGTCCAGGCCTTAAACTTCCATGAATGTGCTAAGAACCCCGAGACTGCAGCAGGGTCCACGCGGGGAGGCTCTGGAGAGAGGGCCCGAGCGGGAAAGAGGAAATGGGAGGGAGCGGACGGAATGAATGGGAGGCCGGAGAGTCGGGGAAGGGGAGGCGCGGGAGCACGAGGGGGAAGGGGTGGAGGGAGGAGAGGGGACAAGGGGAGGGGGGCCGGGGGACCCGAGGACCTGAGGCGGCCGAAGAAGGGCGAGGACGCGCGTTCTCTGCCCCAGGCAGCGACGGGAGGAGGGGCGGGCTGCAGGTGGGGAGAGGCGCAGGCTGCACGCCGCGGCGCCCTTGCGGAGAGGGGCAGCGAACTGCAGCACGCCCGGCTCCCCAGCGGCTCCCGCAGCCGGCGCCCGGCTGCGTCCAGTACGAGAAGCCCCAGCGCTCAGGGTCCGGCCCGCCCGCGTTCGCTCGGCAGGGCCGCGCCGCCGCCTCCTGCGGGCCGCGGCGTCTCGTGCCTGCGCGGGGCTAGCGTGGGCGCCGGGGCCGCAGCCGGCGCGCGCGACGCGCGGGGGCCCGCGGGGGTCCTGGGGGCCGCGGAGCTGGGCGCTCGCCGGCACGCAGCCTCCTCCTCATGCCGCGCCGGACCCCGGCGCCCCGCGGTCGCCGCGGGAGCCCAGCGCAGGCCAGGGCGGCGTCCCAGCCAGCGGCGAGCGCGTTCCGGCTCCGACTCCAGCCGCCGCCAGCTGCCTGCCCGGCCGCAAGGGCGGCAGCTGCATTACCGCCGCTAGTCCGGGGTGAGCCGCCCCCGCCGGCACCGCCCCCGCCGCCCCTGCACGGCCCGCGGACACCGCGCGCAACCAGGCGACTCGCCCTGCGGTCGGAGCCCAGGAGCCCGAAGAGGAGGAGGCCGAGCGCCGTCGGAGCCGCGTCTGGGTCGGAGAAGGGGGCGGACCTGAAAGGGGGGGCGCGCGGGAGACCCCAGTGGGCTCCGCGCGCTCGCTCGGAACTCGGCAGGCGGCGCTGCGCCGGGACCTGAGGAAACCTGAAGGACCCTGGCCCTCCCCTCGCCAGAACATCGCGCGTGTTGATAGGCCCGCGCCGCTCCACGCCGAGCAACCCCCTCTTCCCGCGGTCCCTACGTCACCACCGTCCCCGGCCACCTGGGGTCCCCGCGCTCGCTGCGCTGCTGGGTGCTGAGGGACGCGTCTCGAGCCTCGGATGCGTTCCACTGTGGGGATCGGTAATGAAGGATGATGTACCTGAAGGGAAAGAGGTACCTCCAAGAGGCGACTTCTATGGTGTCATTTCCTCCCAAAATACTCGCTTGGGGAACTAGGTGTATTTCCGACCTGGATTAACGAAAACCCCCATGCAGCCCTTCCTGTGGAAACATACTGTCAGGATGTGATGTGGGCCTACGTATATCCTTTATACTAGGACTTGCCTTCACATCTGGAGGTGAACACTGGGTAGCCGTGCTGTAGCTCTGTCTATGCAGGCGGGGCCGAAAAGACCTCTGTGCAGCCAGTAGGCCCTTTTGAGCGCTGCAGCCGCATCAAGCTTCTGTGGCCAAACCATCCAGTGGTTTAATCCACCTCCTAGGCTGTTCCAGTGCTTCTTCCTGCTAACTAAATTAGTCCATGTCCTTAGCTATATCACATTTTTCCAACGGGTGTGTGGAGGTGTTTCTTTTTCAACTAATCCTGCAGAACATGGCTGGATGCCCTACTGCCATTATTTGCTGAGTATTTCCAGATCGAACAATCGTTGACAGGCAGCAAATTTGGTACCTTCCTACCAAGATACCCATGCCTTAGATGTCTCTGAGATAGTGCTGTGCAATGTGGAGCTTGAAACTCCTAGTTTATAAACCCAGGCCTTTTATTAACTGTGAGACCCAGGACAAGCTTCTACCCTCTGTGAGCCTGCTTTCTCAACCCTCAAATGGTGGGTGTATACCACCTTGCAAGGCTGTAAGATACATGGTATAACTGTGCAAAATGCTAAGCATGATGTCTGGCACACAAGAGGTTTTCTTATATCCCATTAGTTCACTGGATGGAATCACCAAGTTCAAATTCATTTTTTAATATTTTGCTTTTTGGAGTACTTGAAGTTACTCAATTTCTCTAGCTAATTTGATATTTAAAGAGAGAGACACTATTTTGCAATATTTTTAGATGCTTAAGGAAGGAATTTGAAATGCAAAGTGGAAAAACTTATTAAAGAAAACTCACCTGTAAAAAAAAATAGCAACAAAAACCTATGCAAGCAAAAGAAATCCATGAATAGTGAGGAAGCAAAGATTGTATTTCCCTCTCCAACTCCACTGACTTTTCATATCTCTTTCTTTGCACCAGTTCAACTGATTGTCTACAAAGCTAATATCACCATGCCACAAATATAGAGAGAACTCCATACCTTTGCTGGCCTTAGCAATGGACAGTTCTTCTCAGATAAGGTAGGCTTTTTTTTTAAAGGAAAGTTTATTATAAAATTGAGGGAAGTATTAACATCATAGAAATTGATGGTTAATCTTATTTTAAGAAATCTGAAATGTGTGTACAGATGTACCTGGCTGGCATAGATGACTGCCATTGGTATCTCTCTTAATTTTAACCCCAACTCTTTTGGGTTTTGTTCAACAAGTACACCAGTGTACCTGTTGAGACTTACTAGTTCTCCCCTAGAGTAGACTTCATATATTGCACCAGAAAACAAGCTCAGTCAGTGCAGCCATTATTGGAAGGACCAAGTTAAATGAGTAATGCCTATAAAGTGCATGGGAGTCTGATACATGGTAAGCACTATTTGAGTATCTGGAAAATTTATTTTTAAAAATCTCTTGTTTGGACCACTGTCTGCCCAATAGTAACAAGTGATGCTTGTCTCTTTCTGTTTAAAAACCAAATTTCCTGGTGAGTCACCCAGTAAGTCTCGTCTCTGATAGTCTGAGGGATGCAGCAGGGTCTCAGCTCATTTTCAAAAGAGATAGATAAAATATTCAGAGCCCAAGAAATGCTAACCAAGCCTTTTCAAACCCAAATTATCAACTGTTAACTTCCTTGGGAACCAAGTAAGCCCCACAACAGAGGAGTGACCTTGCAGAAGTCTAAAAATTTAATTTTTATGACATCAAAAAGATCTTAATCTTATAATAATAAGACATAACTTATAGTAGTAAGATGGAAGTAAATTTTGTTTAATGGCTTTGTTCAAAATTTATTACCACCAAGTATTCTTTTATTATTTCTCTGTCCACTAGAGACTCCATGCTCTTAAATATCTAGCTGTCAAACTGAATAAATTAAGTCATAATTAATGATTTTCTATTTTGTATTAATAAGAATTATGTCATAGAGATTGCAATTAAAACAAAAAAGAAAAATGTACTTTAATGAGATGGATGACATTTGGTCTGTACTGTCTAACTGAGGAAGGATGAATGATATACACTAAGTGTTTGGATTTGTTCACAACCTTGGTAAACTAAAAATCAGTAATTTTTTCCTGTGAACAAGGGGGGAAAGGAATGAAATAAAATATTGTATAGAATCTCACTTTTATGGTTGCTAAAGGTTCAGACTTCCATATTACAATCACTCATTAGATATACTTATATCACTCATTAAATATAATTATATCTATTTAAATAACTAAGAAAATTATTAGGTTGACAGATTACACATAGCCAACTGAATTTTTTAAATTATGTAATTGAATGTAAATTGCGTAAAAGACATTGGCATGATCCATAAAATGGAATATATATATTCCAAAATGTTGTGGTACAAAAACTTCTCTTAAGTGAAATTTCCATTATAAATACGGTCAGAGTTCTGCTGACAAAAAAGGTATTGGAACCTGTATCTTATTTAGGTTATATTAAAGAAATTTTAAAATAAATAAGTCTTACATTTGAGAGCACATATGATCACTTTAAAGCCAGATTTTTAATAATCCTGTATATGAAAGAATACAGAACTTTATGATAATTCTATATTGTAGTTTAAAACGAAAACCGCCATAGTGGTAACATTTCCTACTTTAACATTTGACCCAAATTTCATACTAATCTCAAAGTGCCTTAACGCTTTCATCTTAGATCCAAGATTATTCTTTCACATCATATGAATGCCTTATAGCATTTTCAACTATTCAAACCACTTTGATACCATTTTCACAACATCCCTTTGGGGTTGGTATGGCAAGTATTATTATGTCATTTTGAGATGAGGAAACTAAACCTCAGGGAGGTAAAATAACTGGCCTGAGATCACAGAGTATCTTAAAGGTAGCAGAGCTGGGAAGAGAGCTGAGATGTTATCAGCCTAGTTCAGTGCCCTTTCTACAAACCACACCAGCTCCCATCTTCACACAGATTACTTTGCCTATAAGGGTAAATGTTTTATTCAGTGTATTTTTTTTCATTTTTCTAGAAATAAATATATGCAATCCATCTTTCAAACTTTACCAAATTTATCTTAGACATCTATGTCAATAAACTATATAAATTATACTACATAGTACAGTGGGAAGGAAAAAAAGTAGTATATAAAGTTAAGGCCCCACTGCCTAGTCCTTGCTTGTAATCACTTGATAAGTCAAAATGAGAAAATTAATGGATTGTGTTCACTTTATCCATTCTTTTTCTCAGCTTAATGCTAGATTTATTCAATAGATTGCTAGTTTTGCCTTAAAGGAAATCTGAGCTGCCAGCCAAAAGTCACTGGCCCCTGCCTCAAGACCAGCAAATCCTAGGCTGTCTTGGAAAAAGAAGCCTGCTCAATGGAAATGAAAATTTGGTCAGAAAACTATGGGGTTGGAGGGTGGGGGAACGGTGAAAAGCAAAGATAGAAGATCGAAAGAATAGTTAAGTCACCCAATTCAGGGATCAGTGCCTTCCATGGAAAAAGGTGATTCTTAAACACCCACCAGGGTAAATGTAGGCGGC